ATTTTTTTGTGAAATGCCATCAACAAGTTTCCAAGTTTGTATTTGAACAGAGTGTCGAATGATTCACACACAACAACTCATGATGATTACAGAAGGTGTGAAAGATTTCAATGAGTCACTCTGGAGTTTATCGGAGTCACTGTTCATCATATTAAAAAAGGCTTTGAGGCTTGGGAATGTAATTTCTTGCTTTGAATTCATACAAATAAGCTTGTTCGAGCTTACTCAGCAATGTGGAAGAATAAGGCTCTAAAGGAAATTCAACCACATAGCTCAAATCAATGAAATTCTTGGCATCTTTACCAATTTTACGATCCTTCATTCGGTATGTGCCAATATAGTCCTCATGATAGGTCGCTTCTTCTTGTTGAATCGTTTCTCGAGTGAAAATTTTACATGGCAACTTGTTTCTCAAGAGATAATCAAAGTGGTTAAATTGAGGACCCATAAAATCAATAAATAATTCGATGGTATTGTTTGTTTTGAAGGATCAACGCTTTCCAAAATTAATAAGGACCAAATGTGCTTATCAAAGTCTCTCACCACAACGTCACCTCTGTGAATGGCATACCAGTTTGTAGATTTACATCTCACGTTTCCAAATTGAAGTCCAAAATCTTTGACCTTGTACAATGCCCATGAATCCATGTTTTGATTTTGTGGGAGTAAAATAAATAAATCTTTTTTGTTTGCTTGCAACTTAAATAGAGATCGCAACCAAGCAACATTAGCAAAACCAAGAGGTTTCTTCTCTCCATGAGAAAATTTATAATAATATTGAAATGTCAATGGAAATTCAGGGTCATTTGCAATTTGAGGTTTTCGACAATAAACATTCCCATAGTCAAATAATTGTGGAAAAGTTCCTTTGTTTTTCTTTGAAAGGTCTATTGTCAAAGTTCAAAGAAATTATTGTTGATTCAAATAGAAAGATCATAAACATACTTTCAAAATATTGCTTTTCTTTTTCAATGAGGGCATTGTCAACAAAGAACTGATCCGTTGGGCATGGAATGTCAAAGCATCTATTTTCATTTGTTGGATCAAAATAATCCTCAACTCTCCAAGTATCGTGATATGCTTTGTGCTCGATTCCTTTCAATTGTTTGACAGAGAAAATATACTTATTTGTTTGTTCACATCCCAAAGCAATAAGGTCATGTAAATCTAAAAAGTTTGGAAAGAGAGCTTTTAGTGCCTCCAATTTGTCATTCCCTGGTGATTTCATCAATCCATTTAACAGAGCTACATGAATATGTTCATATTATTCAAATATGTCAATAGATAATTGATAGAATCCATTCATAGAATAAAGAAAATGAATATTAAAAATCATGTTATGATGCAAACCTTCAAAAGCAAGTTCTTTAGATCCTGAGAAATTGAGACTCTGTACAAGCCTAATTATTGCCTTCTCATTGAGTGGGTCAAATTTTAATACTTGTTGACAATCGGCCAATGATTCATTATATTCTTTCTAAAAAGATTAGAAATATTTCTACAAATATTGCTGATTGCAATAGACATACCAACATCAAATGTACCTGTGCTCTATTGTTGTGCACTCGGATCCACTGTTGTTCGAGATATTTGAATGAACCCTGTTGTTGTTGAAATATTTCGTTTAAATTTTGAATCAATCCGATAGCCAAACTATACTTTTGTTTTGCTTCATTCCACTTTTGTACTTTAAAAAAGGAATTTCCTTCTTCAATGAGTGATTCTAGTTGTTTTGTATCCACTGTTGCTTGTTGTTGTGGCGACGTCGTGTTCATTTGTTGCATCAAACAGTATTATTGAGTTGGGGTATTTTTTTCGATTTGGTTCCGCGTTCATCCACCATTCATTTTGTAAAGAATTGTTTATTTTGTAAAGGGTTATTAAAGAGATCTCAGCAGATCATCAGAAAGTGAGCAATGATCATGATAGGAGAACATCATTTTGAGTCCAAGATCATCTTAAAGAGTGTAATTGAGTTCTTTCAATTCAACAGCCATCCAATCATCCAAAGATTGAAGCTCAGTGTTCACACAAAGCTTTTGATAGCATGATTTCATCCATAATCCTGAGCCAATGCACTTTGCTCCTGCATTTCTCAATCTTTCTCTCAATGCCAAATCAGAAGTTACAAACAGGCAAGAGTCCACAGATCCAGCTACATTCTGCCTCATTGCTAAATCTACAAGCATGTCATCAGCTGTTGTGAAACCACGTTGAGTGGCGCTAGATACAACAAATGTATCCTTTTCACAAATGACTTGAAGGCTTGCAGAATCAAAGCAAATATGTAACATCTTAAGAGGTTGGCGATTATCAGAGAGAATTTGAGCAAACTTTTGGGCAATATGAATGATCAACTTTTCAACCATAACCTTGTCCTTATTCTTCAAGATGAGATCTCTCAATGTTTTGGTCATGAAGAACATGTTGTTTCCGTCAATGAAGATTTGTGTCACGTTGGATGGAATGTTCAAAAAATCACCATTGCTAAGGTCAACATCATCTTGCATGTTGATAGCAATTTGAGCACGCATCATTTGCTTATGTTCAAGCTTCTTCAATTTTAGTTCTCTCTTGATTTGTTTGTGAGATTCTTTCTCGAGCTTTTTCTTCTCCTTTTCGAGCTTTTTTTGTTGCTTCCACAAGAGTTTTTCAGGATTCTTCAACTCCTTGCCATGATGATGCTTGTGACGCTTCTCGTCTGCAAATGAGACAAGAGTGGGATAAATTCTTTCAGCAGTAGTACTGTGACAATGATTGGATGGAAGAGTTTCAGTACCATGTTCACTTTGTCTCTTCTCTTCCTTCTTCTTGTTCTTGATTTCATTCTTGTAATTTTTCAAATCTTGTTTCTTCAACTTAATTTGAGATTTCAATAGCTGAATTTCAGCTTTCTTGTTCTTTATAACCAGTCTTTCCTCTTCGGTAAAGCAACACTTTTCGAATTTCTTCTTTGCAACAGTAAGGTTGGATGCATCAGTGGAGGCTTGTACCTTATTATCATCATGACCAGCAGTTGCTTGCACATTCAACAATGGATGTTGAACTTGTTCTTCCACGATAGAAGGTGGTGCTGATGGTGGAACTAATTCATTCTTCATTGCAACGGGTGAAACGTTTTGTTGAGCAAGAACAACAACACCACCATCGTTGCTTCTGCCAACTTGAGAGGATGCTGGCTGTTGCATGGCTTGATGTTGAAGCGGAATCAAAGCCTTGTTCTCGGGACAATTGGAAACCTTGACCACAATCTTGAACTCGATTGGGGAACCATTGTAATGGGCCAGCAATTTCTCAACCACCTTGTTCCACTTCTTCTCATCACGAATGGCTTTGAATTTCTTCATCTCATTGTTGCGTCTAACTTTAATTTTCATTTTGGCAAATTCTTCTTGTACACCCAATAGACGATAAATGTTTTGGGTGAATGTTTCAAAAGAGAGCTCTCTTTGAGAAACACTATCTTCGTGAAGAAGAAGAGCTGGCTTTGGAGGCTTGGTGAAGGTCGAGTCGGACTTGGTCTTTTTAATCTTCTTCTTGATGATCAATTTGATGGGTACCAAAGCAGCAGTAGCATTGGTAGTAGTGGTAGTAGTGTTGTTGTTCTTCATCATCATCATCATGGATGGATCAGTGGTTCTCTGAAAATTGTTGTGAGATGGCAATTGTTGTTGGAATGCGGCAAATGGATGATTATGTACAGTCATGATTCTGTTTACTTTCACGAGTTTGTTGTAAAAATGTTTTGCAATAATACACACAAGATATTGATTTTGTTTTGTTGGTGGTTTAAAATAGTGCCAAAGCATCGTCGGAATAAATTGGAGCAAGCAACTGCTGGGTTCACCATTACATCAAATTTTTCAAGGTTCACCACAACACCCGAAACACACAAGTTTCACCATTCAAAAGAGTGAACTTTGAATATTTTAGTGGACAGCATTCGAGTGGATGGTTTGAGCCATGCTGTGAATGTTGAAATGACTTTGAGAAAGCTCAAGATTGTTGTTCCTAATATGCTGTAGCTCGTTGGGATTCTGTGTCCAATGAGCAAGTAAATTTAAAACTTTGGAAATCATTTCAGTGTCATCAGTCATAGGAATTGAACCTCCAATGTGAAACTTGTTGAAAAAGGAATCTAGGGATGGATTATGATTGTAGAGGGCAATCACTGCGTTCTTGATGGCCATTGCTTGGAAAATTGTTGGTGCAAGTGTGATGGAAGGAGAATCCTTGGCAATTTGGTGAGGACATGTTTCGGTCAGTAAGGTTATTTGAGCAAGAGGAGCAACACGTCTCAAAATTTTACGAAGTGATCTTGTCGTGGATTGTCTGGTTGGTTTGACAAATAAAACTCTGGATGGGAATTTGTTGGCTAATTCTTCAAATGGGGCAAGTGTTTGAACAGCAATCTTGGCTTGCTCAGATAAATATTCGGAAGTACGTTTTTGAGGATCTGGATGCTGATCTAACAGATAGGTTTCTGCTGATCTAATGTCAGTGAGGAGTAGGATTTTGACTTTTGTGAGATTTTCTTGAGAGTTGGCTAATATTGCGGAAAGAATTTTGAGGATAATGCTGTCACAACGAGCGGTTTCCTCTCCAGAAATCCAATAGCTTAATAAGAGGTCATGTTCATGGCCATCAGGAATAGATTCCAAAATTTGTTTGTCTCCTAACATTGAAAATCGTTGTGCTTTCTCTTCCTGGTAAATGAATTGTGAAAAATCTTTAGCAGAAACCAAAGGTGACCATTCTTGATTATTGACAGCTGAAGGGAACAGTAAGGCCTTCTTGTCCGACTTAATTTCTAGGTAATGGGCAAAATGAGAAGAAAGTTCATTGGATGAGAGAAAGGTCTTGTGTAAAAGAGCGTCATTCTTGACACTGTCCTTAATGTACTCCGTTGTATGATCAGAGTACATGTAATCTATAACATGCGTATAATCGGCCATTGCTTGTGGAATCATGTGTAAAATCTTATAAGCTAAGAGACTTTCAAAAATAAAAATATTGTGGATATGCCTCGAGCTCATTAAATAAGTGGCAAGGAGCGATACATGCTTTTCATTCACTAGCTCATTAGAATCAACAATATTTCTCACATGAAAGACATCATTTGTAAATCTCTCAAATTCTGGCTTGTAACGGTGGTTAAACCCTGATTCATCAGTTGTGATAATTGTGACATGCCAACCGTATTCCATACTAAATGCTGCCAATAATTGTTTTATAACTTCTCGTTTGTGGAAGTTGTGATTTAAATTTTCTGTAATAATCAATATAGATTTGTGATTCCCTTTGTGAACTTTGTGGTGTTGATTTGATAATCTTCTAATTATGGGTTTTGAAATTTGTACTTCTTGGCCAGTTTTCTTGGTCAAGTAACCGTTCTTTTTAAGTGATTCTAGCGTTTTCTTTTTGTAGAGTGATGGATAGTTTTGTTTAAGGTGATTTTCTATAAATTCGTGTTCTTGCGAGCTGGGCTCATGTTCGACTCTGGTACCTATCTTCTTCAACTCATCCACCCGATTCCAAATTAATATTTCTGACATGGTCCAGGCTCTGTGTCCTGCATTAATAAATTTCATCCAAAAATCCCATAACTCTAGTCCATGATCAAATTGAGTATTGAATCCGTCAATACTATCAAAAACCTCCTTCTCAATCATGAAGCCCGAGGATACCTTTTTTTCAAAAGGGATCTTATGAGCAACATCTTGGTACTTTTCAAAATTGAAATGATGCATTTTAGAAAACTCCACGCTGTATGAATTAATCAATGATATAGTTTTAAGAGACTTCTTTTGGTTTTTCTTCGATTCTTTTTGTATCTCAATAAATAAAAACATCTTTTCCAAAGCAGAGGGCTCCAACATGTCTCCTGAATCCAAAAACATGAGATATCTCGAGTAAGGGGATGTATGCTTGGCAGCAATATTTCTTAACCCTCCTGTAGAATGCTTTTTCATCGTTTGTATAAGAGTTATTTTGTCGCTTTTAAAAATTGACTCTGTATCTGTTTGTGAAAATAAATTTGTTTTTGGGCTTAACCTGAGAGCTTTCAGCAAAAAATCTTTTGGTTGGTCTCTTGCATTGTTTGCATCGCTAATTATTATCCATTCAAAATACTTCAAAGTTTGATGAACAATTGAGTCTCTTGTATGTTTAAAGAAATCTTCCATTTGTCTGCATGTAGTTATGACAGATACAAGGGGTGTATATTTTCCAAGGTGGGCATTGTCAAATTTATGAATACTCATTTTGTCCTTTGTGTAAAAGCGATGTTTAGAAATTGGAGTGTTTTCAAATATGAATTCATCAAATGGTAACACTGGCAAGATCATTTCTGACATGTCAAAGTGATCGAATGACGATGAATTTCCTGCTACATGGTGATGAGAGCGAGTTTTGTGAATTTTCGTTCGAGCCTTTCTCTTCCCATGTTTGGCATCTCCTCTCAAAATGTGAGAATGTGAGTGGTGACCATCAGCATGGTCAATGTTTGTCTCGTCCTCATTTGCATTATGAACTGTAAAACCTTTCTCATTTTCCTTTTTCAGAATTTGATTATTGCTTGATTTAGTATATATTGTAATAAATCCCAAAATCAATAATAAGACTAATCCAAAAATAACCACTCCTAATACTAATGTACACTCTAACTTTTCATATTTCTGTTTTTTGAGGCGATGAGTTTGATCAATGCCATTACCTCCTCTTTTTGATGGTGTTTTGTTTTTTCGCAATAAATTTCTATTTCGTGAATAGCCTCGAAAACGAGAGTGAGAAAAATGATGATCCCGATACTCATCATCCGAATCGTCATGATTGTATTCTTCATCATCTTCCTCTCCATCTCCCTCCAAAGTAATGAAACTTCCTCTTCCACTCTCTTCATCTTCATAGTCATCTTCACTGTCTTCGTTCGAATAGGGAAGATCTTCATCACTCTCAAAATCATCGACTCGTATTGCATTTCTCTTGGCAGACTTGAACAGTTTGTGCTGACGAAGTTGCCACATTTTTTCGAATCTTGATTGTCAGCCATCCAACGAAACAATTACAGTACTGCGAGTGAATCGTTAGGAATCACTCTAACCAATGACGGAAAGAAAACAGCTTTATTTATATAAATAATGATAATTTGACCATGCTCAACTAAAAACTAAAAATTATATCCTCCCCCAAGTGGGCTCGAACCACTGACCTGCAGATTAACAGTCTGACGCTCTACCGACTGAGCTATGGGGGAATTCACAATGTAGTTTAATATGAGTTAACTAGTTATTGTACCCTGAAACTTGTGTGCCGAGAATTTGAATCGAGAAAAACTAAAACAAAAAAGAAAAATATCAAAAGATCCTCTCCGCGGATCGATAATAAAATTATTCGCTATCACTGTTTTACCATAAATTATGAACTCTTATTGGATCGGACCGAATAACGAGGTCTCTCAAGTTGTAAATAACAATGACCACGACGAAGAGGAAGATGAAGAAAAGTCTATAACAACACTACCAGTAGAAGTAACCACAATAGCATCATCATCACAACAAGAGGCTTCTCAACAGCCACAACAAAATAATACTGCATCATCAATTCATAACCTCTCAACTTCGGACGAAGATCTGAGTGGAGTTGCAACCAATTTAAACAGTTACATGGACCATATATTGAAAACCTGTTATTTAAATAATTTAATTGTATCATATTGGGACAACAGCATGGGACCTCGTCCTCTACAGGTATGGAACGGATCTATTTCAAGAAGAGAATACTTGAGCGATGATAACATCATGTTCATTACAAGGTTTTCTTTGATGGATGACATGCCAAGATATGAAGAAGTTGGATCAAATATTGAAATCAAATTTAATATCATGTCAGATCTAAATGTCATGGTTCTTACTGCTGTTTTTTGCAGTAAAAATTGGGAAAAGGTGGGCTCGAGATCATTCTTTAGGAGAAAGGCAGATCCTCCTCCTACATTATTTACCATAAGTTTGGTAATGAATCGAGATAATCTTTCACGATACATGGTGATCAATTTTATAATCAAGGAAAAACTAATTACTCTTGCAAAAATATTGCAACATTTTGCTGATATATATATGAGCTCGAATCAAGCAGAAGTGCTTTCAAATTTTACACCTCACCTCAATGAATTTATTCAGCTGTTTGATACATTAAGCAAGATTGCATTCGAACCACCTAAATTTAATTTATTCTATACTCTCTTTCATGAAGAGTCATCCTTGAAGAGGTTATACGAAAATGAGGAAGACAATTTATTCTTTCAACGAGCTGTCACATCGCATTTAGAAACGCATGGATATAGTGTTGTAGTAGGAACACCCAATCAACTGAAAGAAATTAATATTTGGGTCAACACTCTTGCCATGTTTCTCTCGCAGCATGAAAAACAGCTCATTAATCATGCCCAAAAAATTGATGTCACCAAAATTATCACACCACAACCTCAAACTCAAACACGATCATTCTTCAAGAAAATCACTCAAAGTGGCAACGTAAAGTTATTGAACCCTAGCAATGTTTTTAAACCGGAAGTATTTGTGCAAGGACTAGTGACCACTCCAGACCTGTCTCACTGGAAAGATTTAATACCTACAAAGTGCCTACTCTCTGGAAGATATCCAATAACTGTTGTAGATTTAAAAGAGAGAAAAGTTTTTTCATTCAAAAAGTATCACTATTTTCAAGCTTTCAAACGAGAATATTTCGAAGAGTCTGAATCAAAGAACATTTTAAATGACTTTGGAGTACAGACCACAGGAGGAGACAAACAATTCAGAGACCATTATGTGGAATCAAAACGAATATGCACTAGCGTGCAAGAATTATTCTATGTATTACTACGAGTGATTCCATTAACCATCTATCCCTCAATAAGATGCTCTTTGATTTCAGAATTTGTACGATTATTGAACAGAAAGGCCATTGCACTTGCAAGATATGTACACTCAATGAGAAATATTGAGGCTATGAACCCTGACAAAATACAACGAATTCTCATGAAGCATGTAATGATTAATAATAGTGTACAGAAGTATCACATGCATGATTTGACGTCAGAGCTGTTTGTCATAATGGCAACAGCAGAAAAATTGCAGCATGGTGTTTACACGATGATAACAGGAGACCCTCAACTTGAAGCTTTCAATGTCGTAGATTTTCTTGATTCCACAAGCATGGCCTTTGACATTTAATAATCGAGTACATATATGGATTCTCAATCTATTCACATCATAATGATAAACCTTTATGAATAAATAAGAACGTGCTCTGCAAAATTTATTTAGTTCAACTTGACCATGGTAGCCTTAAGAGCTTTGACAGCCTTGGAAGAGGATGCTGGGCAAGCATCTACGAGCTTGCAAATCTTCTCTGGGCTGACAGCCAATAATAATTTTTGAACCAAAACTGGGAAATATTGGTTGACCAAAGATGCACAGTATCCAGAGAAAGTAGATGGCAACTTTGCACACACATTCTTCAACTTGTCCTCAACGAAGGATTGAACAGATGATTGAGAAATCTCTTGCTCAACCAATTCCATAGCCATCAAACAAGCAGGACATCTGCGACAGCGTTAGTTTCAAGGAAACAATTCTATATCAATACTTACGGAATAAGTCCCTTGAGTTCAGCATCCACTTGGAATGTTGGCATGGTCTTGACAGCGCTTGATTTACACAAGTGCAAACCTTGACAGACTTGACCTGGAGAGTTGTGTTCCTGTAGATCAATAGAACGATGATGATTGACATTATTGGTATTTCGTAAATATAAGACAGACTAACTTACCTCAAGCTTCTTGATGATGTATGGAACCATTCTAGCAATGCTCAAACAAGTTTGAGTAAAGATTGATGGGACTGATGAGCACAATTTGTTCAATTCCTTTTGGATCTCAGCTTGAGAATGGTTAGATTCGATGAAAGCTTCGACTTGTTGGATGACGAACTTGCAAATTTCACACTCAGCATCACCAGCAGTAGCCTTCACTTCCTCCTTTGGAACAGTGACAACTGGAGCAGGAGTAACAGCAACAGTGTTATTCTTTGGGCACAATGGTAATTGTTCTGAACAGACACGGGTTGGGTTCTCATAGGTCACCAAAGCATTGACAAGCTCGTTTCCGTAAACAAGAACGACAGTGTTACAAATCTTTCCGAATTGATTGTCTCCCAATTGTTGGCAAGCAGCAAGAAGGGCATTTTGAATAGCTTTTCGTGATGAAGAGTGTGCCAAATGTGGTTCGCAAAAGGCAAAGTTCAGTACACGATAAATATTTCGAAAATTCCACCAATATTCAACGTACCAGCTTCGTTTTGAAGAGCAAGTTGATCAACTTGTTGAACAGCATACTTGCAGACATCGCAGAACTCACTTGGAGCAGCAGAAACGACAGCAAGAGAGGCTGTTATCATTGATGAGAACCATCATGCGAATAAACAAAAAACCCCGAAAATTTACGATCACCATCACCAACAAAATTTGATATCATGATCACAATCAATACCACGTGGTATCGCCATCATCATGAACGCAAAATATCATCATGGTAAAATATTGAATTTCAGTATACTTTCAATCTAAAGATTGGCTCTAACGGCGTGAGTTTTGTAGACTTACCAATCGCCAAAATAACGGCAAGGATGAAGACTTTCATTTTTTGAAGATACAAATTTTTGAAAAAAAAAATCATTTTCCATTTTCAACGACTCCTCAAACTCCGAGATCAATGAGTCAGACCAATCGATTGGCAGTCAGATGAAAAAGACAAGAGGTCCTCCGAAGGCCTCCTTCGTTCTGAATTCGGTCCAGCATCATCATTGATTTCATTAGTTCATATTTCTCATTTCAAGAATTATTCAAACGGAGAGAACACGCGAATCGATGAATTCCGAACGAAACAATCACGGAGTCATATATCGAATTCTCATGAAACTCCAATTTATTTCTCCCTCATGAAATGTTTGACTTGCTCGTATGTGGCGAACACGGCTGCATTCACAATAATCGCCCTCAAAATTGCAGATTTGTATCCACTGTAAAATCCTGATGTCCCTTGTTCCGAATAGATTCGTTTCATCATTTCCCATGTCGACACAAAGTGTTGAGATCCATGATGATGTTGATGGTGACCTGACGTTGGCGTGGTCAGTGTTAAATTGTTCTGAATCGAGTCAATTTGAATCCTCGTTTTAATCATATCCACTGGAAACATGACAGTCCAAAATACAAGACCTCCAATTCCACCTCCAATTAAGGAATGCCAAGTGGGTGGTTTTTGAGGAGAAGTATTATTACGAATTGTCATGAATTGTAAAAATCTCATTGTGGCTTCGTAAGATCCAAAATATAAGGCCAATCCACTTTCTCGAAGAGTTGTGATTGCAAATCCTCGATTAATACTTTTGTAAAATCGCAAGTAGGATCTCATGCGATGCATATATTTTACAACAAAATGACTACTATTAAGGGAAGAAGAATTGAGAGACTGTAATTGTTGTTTGTAAAGATGTCTCATCAAATCAAATGGACCATTGAATTTGTGATTCATATTCGATTCCACTTGTAAATTACATTTCAAATATTCAGTGGGAGTTGTCACGAGAGAGCCAACCACTCCTGACAAGGCTCCAGCAATTGCAATTTTGTAAAGAGAAAGAGGCCCCTCTTTGACATATCTTTTGCTGAACCATTCCTTACATTCATTATAGACTCCAAATTCGACACTGTTCAAAATACAAGCTCCAACAAGAGGACTTGTCTGTTTCATGCATTCCAATTGTCATGTCACACATTATTCGTGTGAAGCAAATGTGAAACAAATGTGAAACAAATTGAATCCATTCATTAATAGGGTTCACAAATTTTTCGTTTCCAACTCATTGCAAATAATACCCTTGAAAACTTACTGCTCCTCGATACAATCCTCGAATTCCTTTCGTTTGAACAATCTCTTTCAACAAACTCATGGGTGATAGGGATTGTAATTTTGTTGCTGTTTGAATTTTCACTTTGATGGTATCCAACGGATGACCACTCAGAATTTGTGTGACTCCTCCGAAACATCCAGCAATCCATTCTTTCATGTGAAGGGTGGTTGCAACAGCTGTTGTTGTTGTGGAGGAAGAGGTGGTGGTGGTTGCAGCAGCTGAGATAAAAGTGGTCGTAGTAGTTGTTGCTGTGGAATGAGTTTCGTTCATCATATGTTCGTGTGACTGGACCGCTCGTGCGAGAGAGTTGTTGCAATTTTAAAAACGAACTCGAGTGTGTATGTGTGAATACAAAGAAATCGTTCTTCCAATTTTGATTTGAGTACTCAATCTATTTAAGTAGATTGGAATAGAGAGTGGATAATATGCCACACCTCTGTGTGTGAAATGATCAAAGAAGACGCACGACAGAAATAGAACATTTATGCTGCTCCATAGTTGTTCATGAATGTTTGAGAGCTCTCAATTCCATCATGGTTGATCTAAGTGGTGTTTTGATGTTTTGATTCGTCTCCTTACCCTTCAAAAGATCTCCATGAATATTGATTTGCCTTTTTTAGGCAAACTCTTTTTCAAAGGGAGTTTTTTCTCTCATAACGACGACGTGTTGTAAAAGGATGGACCAACGAAGAGATTCCTTGTTTCATCATTATTACAACCAGTTGTTTTTGTAATTCGGATCTTCAGTCATGGAAGTCCATCGCGTCACGATCTCTCTCTCTGTATCTCTTTCTCTCTCTCTTCAAATGATCACAATTTTGCCATTAAGAATCAAAAAGAACAAAACAGCAGCATTGACCATCTTCTTCTATTAGTGGATAAAGAAGATTCATCTCCAAACACCCTCCCAAGTCTTTCATCCTTCCCGATCCTATTATAATATATTACACCTCATCCTCACTTTGAAACTTTTATTCCCATCATCATCATGACAACTCTTTTCAATACCTTTCAAATGAGCCAATTCGCTCCTGACCATTCATTATTGATGTTTCTCACCACCACCACCACCAACAATAACAACAACTTCAATACAACAACAACCTCCAATCCTCTTCCCTGCGATCCATATTTGCTTAATTGGACATCCTCTCTCCCTCCAATGATGACATCCATCAATACATCAACAATTCTCACAATGAATGGATTCTGTCCAGAAACTCTTCTCAGTGTTTCTATTGCCTCTTTTGAGTTATTCATCTTTTCCATTCTCACACCTTTAACCTTATTGGGTTTAGTGTGGATGAGAAAAAGCCCACATTTACAAGCGAGAGGAATCTATACCTTAGTATGGACGATTGCATCGTGTTCGTTTGGAATTGTATTTCCGGCATTGAGGTGGACAATGGGAAGAAGGATTTTCCCATGTGGATTGTATATTGTTATTATTTTTAACATTCCACAAGTGATTTCGTTGCCATGTATTTGTAAATGTTTGGCATTGTATGCGAAATTTAAATTGTATCGATTGTTGGATGAAAAGAAACAACTCGTGAATGGTGTTGATATGATGACAAGTGACGTGGAGACTCTTTCAACCATGACTGGAATACCATCAGCAACCACTACGATTGATGGAATGATTCAAAACTCTCCCAACTCTGCATCTCAACAACTTCCACAATCGATTGGCAAAGATGAGCCATCCAAAGCTCAACCCAGTACTCCAACTGTCACTTTTCAATTCCCTTCGATGGATTCCATCAAAGAAAATACCACTTCACCGACAACAATTACAAGCAATGAAACGACAGAACGAACCTCTTTGAGCTCATTCAACTCCCGACCATTCTCTTCGAGTGATTTATGGAAAGTTCGAGTGTTAAGGTTCTTAGGCAGTTCTGCATTTCACATCATGATCGCTGTGGCTGGATTTTCTTTTCACTCCACTTTGTGGTTATTATTAGGAGTGATTCAATACGTGTTTCCTGAAATAGCCGATTATGAAGTGGGTTTATGGTATTTTTCGAGTGGTTGTGGTGTTCACAAAAACACAGCCATCATGGTTGCTGTTCAATTTTCGTTTTATTTAGTATTGAGTGCATTGGTTTTGATTATTTCGTGGTTTTCTGATCGAGATACCTATGGAATTAAGTTGGAAACTTCTATTGTGACTCTATTTTTCTTGTTTTCCATTAGTGGATATTTGATACTTTCTCAATTTGAAATTATTCGAACGTTGGTGGATTATTTTATTCCCTATGGTCAATTAATGGTTACTTTCACATTTCTAGAGTTGATTGTGTATGTGACTATTCCTGTTCTTTGGTCCATTTATCAGTCTTATCATCAAAGAAAAAACAAAGAGGACATTCCATTGGACAACAAAAATATCGTTGAGAAAATACTTTCAAATAAGAAAATGTTTGACCTTTTGGTTGATTTCAGTAGAAGAAGTTATTGTTCAGAGAATGTCATGTTGTATGTGGATATTAAGAATTATAGAAAAGCCACGAAAAAGGAAACCAAAGAACGAATTGTAATGCACATTTTGAAAAATTATTATGAACGAGGATCTCCTCTTGAGATTAATACTCCTCACATTGACAGACTAGCCAACGAATTATTGAAACTTATTCAATCAAAAAACACATCACAGATTGACATATTTATGGATAGACTTTGTGAACAATGTGTCCAAAACATGTATGACGTTGTGTTTCGATTACTCTTTAGCAATGAGGAGGTTCGAAAATGGGTCTATCGCAAAAGTACAGTCAACATTGAACAACTAGATTTGAAAATTTAGTTTATTTGTCCTCATCATCTTGCATCTTTAGTGTTGCCTCAACGTCACCATCGTCGTGTGATTCGTGATGACCATCTTCTAAATCATCATCCAATTCAAAATCTCTTTCGAGTGACAGCCCATTTAAGCCGAGCGTTAATGTCTGAGCTTGGAGTATTTACACCAATAGAGAGTGTGGTGTCTTTGAGATCATGCAAGTAAGTGAGCATGAACACAAGAATAGATGAAACTATGCCGTATTGAATTAATGCTCCTAAAAACAATTCAACAATTTGATAGAGGCCACATTTTCCGGCGAGAATTTGAGGCATGTCGCAAAATATTGAAATAAACATTCCGATAATGATGGAACTCGTTGGCCACATTAAAAGGAAGGTCACAATGCAACAAATTTTCACAATAATCCATGGATGAAGTTTTCTCTTGTTGGCAGCAATTTTTTTGTCATACATCTTTGGAAATGTAATTGTTTGGTCAAAATTGGATGAAATTTCCTTAGAAACATACCACATGCAAAGTTGTCGACAAAATCATATGAATAAAAGCTGTAGTCATAAATAGAAATGTAAAAATCAAGTGAACAACAGTGATGGCATCAATATTCATATCAGCTGCGGATGCTGACGAATCAACATTTTGAGAAATACTACTGGGCAGCGATATCAATGAAACATCCATCAGATGAGGAAGAGCTACTACAGATGCTCTATTTTCATAGCTCCATAGATCATCAAAATTCGAGCTCAATGTTGTGTTGCTTTTGAGTATGTTAAGAATTTCTCCCTTCTTAATTGGAACAATTGCTAATCCAAGTAAACAAATACCAGCAATAAAAGAAAATATGCATGACGCTACACTCAACCAGCTCATTCTAAAATATCCTCCACAATAAACAGTCGTGTGACGTTGATGTTCAATAGATAATAATTTTTCTTTCATTGTAAAGTATTGTAAAAAAGAAGCAATCAATAAACACACTGATGGAAGAACCAAACATGCTGTAAATATATACTTTGTTGGAGGATAAATTCCTGTTTCGGAGAGAGCAGGTAAATGTTTGGAAACATCATCTGGTGCTGTGAGCAAGCTCAACACTATGCAAAATAATAAACACACTGCCGTTATCACTACAATGGCAGGTGGAAAATATCGAATCTAGAGATGTTTCATAATGAATTTTCAATAATGTTGAAAAGAATGATGAATATCCATCATCAT